AGGCAGAGAAAGAAAAAAAAGGAGACAAACAAGGGAAGAGAAGAAAGGAAGGAAGGAAGGAAGGAAGGAAGGAAGGAAAAGGAAGGAAGAACCTTGAGTCGATGGAGGCCGTTTCTTCGCTAAGGCTGCACCCCAGTCGCCTCTCGAAGGCTTCTCGGCGGATATTCCTTTGAAAAGAAACAAAATACAACACAAAAGGAGAGAATATCACTCCATCCAACCTTCCTCCGCGTCCTCTGCAGTGCCCAAGGTTTTGGGTTGTGCGACAAGTCGACACATACAAACACGCACACACCTTGACCGGGGATCTTTCCTTCCCGCCTCCTCTCTGAGTCTCCGCGACAGATTCGACAAGCGAGAAACTGCCTCCGGCGACGTTGCTTTCTCTGAAAACCGAACAGAAGTCGGAAATATTTCGTCCTTCCCGAACCCTGTCCTTCCTGGAGAAACCCAGCTCCTCCTCGCTTTTCAGGCTCCATTGCAACGAAATGAGCCTGTAGGGAAACGAACGGGGACCTGAGTGGGACGGGGATGGGGCCTGAGAGCCTAGAAGGAGTGGGAGCGCAACCACAGACTTACGCCACTCGGCCCGTCAGCAATTTCAATCCGTTCTTGTCGAAATTAAGACTATCAAAAGCCAAGATTTCTCAGATGTTGGTGTTGGATCGGTGACAGAGGCGATAGCTACTCCTTGCAATCTGAAATGTATATTTAAATCAGGGAGATGTCACCTTGAATGAAGCCAAGAGTGAGGACTGACTACACACCATGCTCACGGTCACAATCAGTAAACACACGCATTCATAGTATGGATATTTATCTCAAATACAATTTGTTGACGTTGTTGTATTCCAGGAAACCGTGTTAGCAAGCCAGCAACTTTATATTGCTCATAGGAAACCAGTAAACTTTATTCATCCTACTCTTATATTATATGTTATATTATATTACTACACTTCATGTGTCCTTTGTGTGTGCGATTTCTTCTCAAAAGCCTACCTAAACTTTTACTAACTCCAGATTGTTTATCTCTTATCGTTAAGGAAAAGAAGCGGTTTTAAATACGAGGTTTCCAGAGAAGTTCTTCCTTTCAAACCCCAAGCATTAGCCAAAGATTGTTGGGGGAAATAACACAATCGTATCCACTATTGTTAATAATACTATGTAACAAAATTCGAAAGAAAAAAACTTAATCATAACACTAAATAAAGAACAACATTCACAAACAGGGGAATTCCAGACAAGAAACAACCAGGGCTAGCTAATCACCTCCCAACAAAGGATTCCCTCGGGCAGTAAGAAGCCAGACTGTGAAACTGCTAGGCCATTGAATGTTAATCAAGGTGGCCAATTGAAACATTCACACCTGCCTCCAACAGACATGAGTTCTTTCTCCCACCCTGGACATTCCACAGATATATAAACCCAATTTTCCTAGTTTTCAACAGACCTCACAACCTCTGAGGATGCCTGCCATAGATGCAGGCGAAACGTCAGGAGAGAATGCTTCTGGAACATGGCCATATATCCCGGAAAACTCAAAACAACCCGCTGGAGAAAAAAAAACTGTTCCTGGCTTGAAGGTATTATTCCTGTTTAATGGTGCGGTATTTACTTTGAAAATAGTTGTTAAAACTCAGAAACTTCGTTTTTGTGGTTGCCACAAATTATATTGAATTGGTTGAGACTCAATGAGATATCAATTGAAAAACAAGAGCAAAATGTGCTATAGGGCGTCTGCAGTTTAATAAACTTTCCCCATGTTTTTATGATAGACCCATTAGGAAATGACATTTATAACCCAGAAACAAAAATCGTGTTATACAATAGCCTGGAGTCGGAAAGGGTTGCTTAACGGCCTCCTCTGTTGTTTACCATTTTCCAAAAAGGCCACTTTATTCGTGCCAAGTTTTGTCCTCACCTTCCCCGAAAGAAGACAGCAATTTGGGGGTAATTGCCGTACAACTTCGTTCCTTGTAACAGTAACCCAAAAAGGGGGGGGGGGGTCTCCTTCCTTCCATGGATCGGAGAAGGAGGGAAGGAAGGAAGGAAGGAAGGAAGGAAGGAAGGAAGGAAGGAAGGAGGAGGAAGGAAGGAAGGGAAGGAGGGAGGGAGGGAGGGAGGGAAGAAGGAAAGAAAAAAGAAAGAAAGAAAGAAAGAAAGAAAGAAAGAAAGAAGAAAGGGAAAGAAAAAAAAGGAAAGGGAGGGAGAGAGGGAGGGAGGGAAGGAAGGAAGAGGAAGAAGGAGAAGAGAAAGAAGGCAGGAAGGCAGGAAGAAGGAAGGAAGGAAGGAGGAAGGAAGGAGAGGAAAGAAAGAAGGAAGAAGGAGGAAGGAGGGAAGGGAAGGAAGGAAAAAGAGGAAGGAAGGAAGGAAGGAAAGAAGAAAGAAAGGAAGAGGAAGGAAAGAAGGAAGGAAGAAGGAAGGAAAGAAAAAAGGAAGAGGGAAGGAAGAAATAAAGAAAAAAGAAGAATAGAAGGAAGGCACGAAGAAACGAAAGAAGGAAAGAAGGAAGGAAGGAGGGAAGGAAAGAAAGAAGGAAGGAAAGAAAGAAAGAAGGAAGGAAGGAAAGAAAAAAGGAAGGAAGAAGGGAAGGAAGGAAAGAAGAAAGAAAAGAAGGAGGGAAGGAAGGAAGAAAACGGGAGTGACAAGTCAAGGCCAGGAAAAGAAACGAATGGGACAGCAGCCTTGCTCTATGTGTTTGAATGGGGGAGACCTCCCTCTCCCACTTCTTGTCCCGCTGGAGGGAAAACATAACCGACCCACAATCTGGCTCCTCTTGTCCGAACTTGTGAAGGAAATGCCTGACCCGGCCCCAAATGCCGAGGACGTTGTGTTGTGACGCGCCCGAAGGCGGTCAAGGGAACTGGAAGGCGTTGTGTCTTTTCCTTGGGGAGAGGAGGGCCGGCTGTCACTCTTCTCTTTGGCTGGCAAAAGAGGCTGAATCAACACTGCCGAACAATGCAGTTTGGACTATATTATATGGTCAATGTAGACCAGGCAGGGGCGAACTTGGGCCCTCCCTCCAGGTGTTTTGGACTCCAACTCCCACCATTCCTAACAGCCTCAGGCCCTTTCCTTTTCCGCTTAAGTGGTTGAGGGGGGAAAGGAAGGGGCCCGAGGCTGTTATGAATGGTGGGAGTTGGAGTCCAAAACACCAAGTTTGCTTATGCCTAATGTAGACCCAAGATAGGGTTTTCTCGGGTCAAATAGAAACCATTCTGTGGTGAAAATATAAAACATAATTCATGGAGAAAACAGAAGTCATTCGAAGTGCAAACACATGAATAGATACTATACAAATCACCCGTCATGAAAGCATATTCTTGGGTCAAACGGGAATCCTTCCGTGGTGAAAACATAAACACATTCACAGGCAAGACCAGAAGTCATAATTGGCACCCTGTGCTTCCTACCTTAGAAGGCGCGGAAAGTCTTCTAAGAGAGGTGGTAAGAGAGCCAACCTTGTTCCAAAACACACCCAATTGAAGGTATCCATCCCTTCCAAATTTGTAAATATTCCCAAATCTCCTCCCCAAGAGGTTTTAATTGTCTCAAAAGGTGGCCATTTGTTGGTGGTAACACAAGCCGGAAGACAGAGCGGAGTCGCCGCCAATAATAATTATAATTCGCCTTTTCTCCCCATTAAGCACCTTTTGCTGGATCTGCACCGACCAAATAATGCAGTTCGAACTCAATATATAGTTGGTGTAGATCTGGCCTTGGAGGGCCTCCCTTGAGACCAAAGGAAGGAAGGAAAGAAGGAAGGAAGGAGGAAAGAAAGGAAGGAGAGAGGAAAGGAAGGAAGGGAAAGGGAAAGGAAGGAAGGTTGGAAGGAAAGAAGGAGAGAGGAAAGGAAAGAAATGAAAGAAGGAAGGAAGGAGGGAAGGAGGGAAGGAAGGAAGGAGAGAGGGGAAAGGAAGGAAGGGAAAGGGAAGGGAGGAAGGAAGGAAGGACGGAAGGAAGGGGGTAAGGAGAAAAGGAAGGAGAGAGAGAGGAAAGGAAGGAGGGAAGTAAGAAAGAAAGAAAGGAAAGTGTCACAAGGACAACAAGCAACACACCAATGAACCCAGTCATCGCCAAGGCGATAATAATAATTGTCCCCCCAAAAGTTAAACCAACAACTAATAAGGTAGCTTAGGCAGCTTGGAAGAAGGACTCAGGGAAATCTGAACTCGTTCCCGTCTCCAGCTTTGGCTCTTTTTCCCAGCTAGCAAATACATACCTCTTTCGAGTAGAAATCCTACCTCTGGAGTCCTAACTTTCAGGGAATGATGTCAGGGAGGGAAACCACCTTCCGAGCTGGGAAACGAAAGAGAGAAAACCGAAAGTAAGTGAGCCAAAGAATCATGAAAAAGGCGAAAGCCAAGGATCAAGGGGCAAAAGCGAGCAAGGGTTTCGCGGGGATTTTTCACGAATCGGGATAAATTGCACACATACACACACACACAGAGGAAAGAAGGGAGAGGGAGAGCGCGCGACTGGGAGAAATGGAAACTATGTGTTTCCCCTCCGATTGCCCCCCTCCCCTCCTTTTCCCCCCTCCCCTCTTTTGGCCCCTTCTTTCCCTCCCTCCCTCCCTCTTTCTCAAAACAGTTTATTTGAAAGAGGCTTCGGGTGGACACTGTAGACACCCGGGTGGCCAATCAGCGCGCCGCTCTCCTCCCCTGGCCAATAAGAAGCGCCACATTGTTGTCCAATGTTGTCTAATGGCAACGTGAGGCGCAACAATAGAGCGCGGCGCTGGCGGAGGTTGGCTCCCTCTCGGCCGCTCCCGCTCCAGCCTCCGGGGCCGAAGTTGGGCTCAGAGACAGAGAGGCAGAGAGAGAGAGAGGAGGAAAGGAAGAAGGAAGGAAGGAAGGAGAAGGGAAGGGGAAGGAAGGGGAGCGCCTTCGCCTGGCCGCTTGGTCGGTTTTGTGAAGGAAGGAAGGAAGGAAGGGAAGGAAGGAAGGAAGGAAGGAAGGAAGGAAGGAAGGAAGGAAGGAAGGAAGGAAGGAGAAGGAAGGAAGGAAGGGGGTCAGGAATGGCACGGGGAGGCGACGGGGCCGCGCTCGGACTCCTGTGAGGCGTTCGCGGGGCTCTCCGGGCTGTTCCCGTCTTTCTGGGGCGCAGGACTCTTTCCGGGAGGGACAGGCCTGCGTGGGGTGCCCCCGGGACCGTGTTCTGAGACCCCCGCGAGTCCCAAGGCTCGGCTCCCCTTCTGAGTTGAGTTTCTAACTTACGGACAGCGCTTAGGAAGTGGTCTCTCTGGGCGGATGGGTCGGGTCTCGTGGGGAAGACGGGGGACTTGGAGGCGGTAATCGATCATTTCCACCCCAGTCCTTTCCTTACAAGGGCCCGTATCGTGGGAGTGAAACGCGCCTGACTCTTTGGAGAGGGTTCACTTGCGTCAGGATTTGGAGGAAGAAGGGAAGAGGGCAGGCGAAGGAAGGAAGAGAGGAAGGAAAGGCGAAGGAAGGAAGTAACCGATCCTTTTCACCCCTGTTGCTTTCTTACAAGGGCCCGTATCTTGGGAGTAAAGTAGGTCTACCTCTTTGGAAAGGAGACCGGGTTCACTTCCGCTAGGATTTGGAGGAAAAGAGGAAGGAAGACCTGTTAGGGAAGAGGGCAGGCAAGGGAAGGAAGGAAAGGGGAGAGGGAGAGAGTGAGGAAGGAAAGAAGGAGGGAAGGAAGGAGAGAGAGAGAGGAAAGGAAGGGAAGGGAAGGGAAAGGAAGGGAGGGAGGAAGAAGGAAAGAAAGAAGGAAGGAGAGAGAGAGGAAAGGAAGGGAGGGAGTGAGGAAAGAAGGAAGGAAGGAGAAAAGGAAGGAGTGAGGGAGAGATGAAAGGAAGGAAGGAAAGAAAGAAGGTAGGTTGTTGATTGCCTGTATTTGGAGAGAGAGACTTGGGAGGAATAAACTCTTCAAAAGTTTTGAGGAAGGGTGTAGCGTGGGGCAAACGGGGAAGGGTCCACTTTGCAAGGCCTTGGGAGATCAGGGAGATCCTGGGGAGGGCGTTACTGAGAGTGGGCCCTCCACCAAGAGCTTAATTCGGACAGACTTCGGATAGAGTTTTGGGGCGCTGGTGCCAGAGAGCCAGTGGCGCGGCCCTAACTGTGAGTTCCATCCAGGCCGCTCTGGGGGAGAGAAGGGGCGAGGAGCGAGTTTTCCAGCCGGGGATGGAGCTGCGCTCCGAGATGCCGCCCGTGCCGCCTGGACAGGCCCCGGGGCCCCCGGGCTCGGTGTCTGCGGCGGCGGCGGCTGCTGCGGCGGCGGCGGCCAGCCTCCCGGTGAGCGTGGCCGGGGGCCTGCTGCGTGGCCCTCCGCTGCTCCTGCGCGCGGCCGAGAAGTACCCGCGGACGCCCAAGTGCGCGCGCTGCCGCAACCACGGCGTGGTCTCGGCGCTGAAGGGCCACAAGCGCTACTGCCGCTGGAAAGACTGCCTCTGCGCCAAGTGCACCCTCATCGCCGAGCGGCAACGCGTCATGGCCGCCCAGGTGGCGCTCCGACGGCAGCAGGCCCAGGAGGAGAACGAGGCCCGGGAGCTCCAGCTCCTCTACGGCACCGCCGAGGGGCTCGCCCTCGCCGCCGCCAACGGCATCCTCCCGCCGCGCCCGGCCTACGAGGTCTTCGGATCCGTCTGCGCCGCCACCGCCTCCACAGCGCCCGAAGCAGCAGCAGCAGCAGCAGGAGGAGGAGGAGGCAACGGAGGAGCAGGAGGCCCAGGACCTACAGGTGAGCAACCTCCCCCTTGTGAGCGCCCTAAGACCCGACTCTCACCACCCCCATCTCTCCGAAATTCACCTTCCATGGGCCCGTATTCGTGAGTGGGAGGGAGGGGGCTCTCCTTTCAACCCAGTGGCGCCTCAACCTCTGAGGATGCCTGCCGTAGATGCAGGCGAAACGTCAGGAGAGAATGCTTCCGGCCATGAAAGCCTTCGACAACACATTGTTCCACTTTCTTTCCAAAGTGTCCCCTCTGAGACAGCTCAGGAGAGTTTGAATTTGAAGTCTGTGCCCCCCAGGTTTTGTATCTACTGCAGGATTGGGCAAACTTGGACCCTCCAGGTGTTTTGGACTCCAACTCCCACCATTCCTAACAGCCTCAGGACCTTTCCTTTCCCCCCCTCAGCCGCTTAAGCGGAAAGGAAGTGGCCTGAGGCTGTTAGGAATGGTGGGAGTTGAAGTCCAAAACACCTGGAGGGCCCAAGTTTGTTGTTTACCAAACTGAGGGGTCCCGAAGGCCCTATTAGCATAATACCCCACTCCACTCTTCCTGCCCAACTCTCTCTTTCTCTCCAGCTGTGCCAATGTTGTTCACCCCATCCGCAATTCCTTCTTTCCCCTCCTCTTTGTACACCCCACGTGCGCCCAGGTTTTAGGGTTCCTCTTGTGGGGCCATTTTATCCCTCGGAGCCGTGGATCTACCTCCCAGGTAAGTCAGTGTCGCCTCCGGTGTCAGCGGGAAGCTTTCAACCTCCTCCCCAAACTCACACCTGAGGGGCCCTCACTCCCCAAGGGGCGTCTTGGGGGCGCCCCTCCCGTCTCCCCTCCGTCTGGTTTGGGAGGGAAAGGGCGCCCCCTGCCGACCCCTGAGGCCTGGTCCTGTGACCTTGTGTGCTTGCTGAATAGGCTCCTCCTGAGCCTCCAGGGATAGACTGGAGAATAAGATGGGGATAGAGGAAGATGGGGCAGAAAAGTCAAGAAAACTGGACAGGGAAAGGGGTGAGGCAGTCAGGCAGCTACTCCACTTTGTTGGGGCCATGCTTTTGAAGGACAGGCCCCCCTTTTGTTGCAGCAAGAAAGGATGGCGACCTTCTTGTATGGATTTCCCTCGAATGAAGGCTGCGGTGTTTGTAGTTTCCGGGCTGTATGGCCCCCTTCTAGCAGCATTTGGCCTGCATCTGTGGCTGGCATCTGAAGACGGAAGGAAGGAAGGAAGGAAGGAAGAAGGAGGAAGGAAGGAAGGAAGGAAGGAAGGGAGGGAGAGGAAGGAAAGAAGGAAGGAAAGAAGGAAAGGAAGGAAGGAAGGAAGGAAGAGAGGAAGGAAGGAAGGAAAGAAGGAAGAAGGAAGGAAGGAAGGAAAGAAGGAAGGAAGAAGAGAAAGAAGGAAGGAAAGAAGGAAGAAGGAAGGAAGGAAGGAAAGAGGAAGAAGGAAGAAAGAAGGAAGGAAAGAAGAAAAAGGAAAGAAGAAAGGAAGGAAGGAAAGAAGGAGGGAAAGAAGGAAAAAGGAAGGAAGGAAGGAAGGAAGGAAGGAAGGAAAGAAGAAAGGAAGGGAGAATAGAAAGAAGGAAGAAAAGAAAGAAAGAAGGAAAGAAGAAAAAGGAAAGAAGAAAGGAAGGAGAAAGAAGGAAAAAGGAAAGGAAGGAAAGAAGGAAGGATGGAAAGAAGGAAAGAAGGAAGGAAGGATAGAAAGAAGGAAGGAAAGAAAGAAAGAAGGAGGGATGGAAGGAAGGAAGGAAAGAAAGAAGGAAGGAAGGAAGGAAGGAAGGAAGGAAGAAAGAAGAGAAGGAAGAAAGGAAGGAAAGAAAGAAAGAAAGAAGGAAGGAAGATGCCAACCACAAATGTAGGCCAAACGTCAGGAGAAAATGCTGCTGGAATAGGGCCATTCAGCCCAGAAACCACACAACACCCCAGATCTCTTTGTATGTTTCTTACTTGTCCAAAGGGGTCAGAAGGGGTAAGAAGACCTTTCCCAAGCTGATTGGAAACAACAACACGGGGGAGCCTTTGGGTGCTAGTGGCTCACAGAGTCATAGTGCTCCACAGGGGCCATTCGGTCCAACCCCATTGACACGCGGGAGAAAAACTTTGAGGGTTTAGGGTTGTGTCGAGAATGAATGGTTCCAACTGCAGAGGGATGGGTGTTGTGTTGAACCAAGCTCCTTAATAGCTTCGGCCAACCCATCCCATATTCTGACTTGGTTAAGAATCTTTAAGCCCCCCCCCCTCTTTTTTATTTATTTATTTATTTTTATGCTTGTGGGTCCGAGGCGTCGGGCCAGTCTGGCGCTGCGTTGCTGACGCGTCTTTCTCTCTTTCTTTCCCCCCTTCCCTCTTTCCCTCCCTCCTTTCTCTCTCCAGAGGTCAAGCTGCAGAAGTTCGACCTCTTCCCCAAGGCGCTGCTGCCCCCCCGCTCGGCGACCCCTCAGCAGCAGCTGCAGCAGGGCAAGCCCTTGTCCCCCGACGGCGCGGACGGCGCTGCGGGCCCCACCTCCTCCTCCTCCCCGGAGCCTCCTCGCTCGGGCTCGGAGAACGGCGACGGCGCTGGCGGCGACTCTTCCCTCGGCTCCCCTCTTTCCAAGGGCGCCAAGGACGGGGCCTCGGCGGGGGGTCCGGAGGAGCAGAGCCCCTTGGGGTCCATCAGCCCGCTGGGCTCCGACTCGGGCTGCTCCGAGGCCGAGAGAGAAGACCCCGGAGTCGCCTCGGCGGGGCTGGCAGCGGCGGCGGCGCGGAGCCACCAGCAACAGCAGCGGACGCCGCTGGACATCCTGTCGCGGGTTTTCCCGGCGCACAAGCGCAGCGTCCTGGAACTGGTCTTGGCCGGATGCGGAGGAGACGTGGTGCAAGCCATCGAGCAGATTCTCAACAACCACCACCATCACCACCACCACCATCACCACCCGCATCTCTCCTCCTCGTCCTCCTCCTCTTCCTCCTCCTCGGACAAAGCGGGAGAAGAAGGCTGGGCCTCGGGACAGCCCTTGGGCGCCCCTCCGCAGCCCCACCACCGCCCGCTGCTCACCGGGGCCATGACCCCCGCCATCGGCGCCCTGGGAAGCCGCTCCGCCTTCTCTCCCTTGCAGCCCAACGCCACGCACTTCGGGGCGGCCGCGGCAGCCGAAGCCAGCGCCTACCCCTTGGGCACGCACTTGGGACTCAGCCCGCTCCGCCTGGCTTACTCCGCGGCCGCGGCGGCGCACAGCCGAGCCGGCCTGGCCTTCATGGCGCCCTACTCCACCGCCGGGCTCATGCCCACCCTCGGCTTCCGCCCGCCCGTCGAGTACGCCTTCAGCGACCTCATGCGCGACAGATCCGCCGCCGCCGCCGCCGCTGCAGCCGCCGCCGCCGCCGCCGCTTCCTCCGCCGCCAAGGAGACGGCTTATCCCAACGGGCTGTACGGGCCCCTGGGGGTCAGCAGCGCCCCCGAGAAGCAGCCCTGAAGCAGCCCACGGCCTTGCCTCGCAGGCAGGGGCAAACTTGGGCCCTTCAGGGTTTGGCACTCCAACTCCCAGCATTCCTAACAGGCTCAGGCCCTTTCCTTTTCTCCCTCAGCCGCTTAAGCGGCTGAGGGGGGAAAAGGAAGGAGCCTGAGGCTGTTAGGAATCGTCGGAGTTGGAGTCCACAACACCTGGAAGGAAAGCCAAAGCTTCCCCATGCCTGACATAACAATGGGCAGCCCTGGAAGTTTGACTTTCTCCCTGACTTTAACCGTGAGGTACAACTATCAAGATGTCATTTCACTTTGTTGTTGGAAGAAGTTAAATAAGCATGGATATTCTTTTGGTGCGTCCTGAGATCACACACACACACACACACACACACACACACACACACACACACACACACACACACACACATAGTGTGTGTGTATATATATATATATATATATAGAGAGAGAGAGAGAGAGAGAGAGAGAATGAGATATATATATATATATATATATATATATATATATATATATATATATATATATGTGTATATATATATATATATATATATATAGTATATAATATATATATAATCTATTGTATACAGTGTGTATATATAGTATATATGGTATGTATATTATATTATATATATACTATATATCTAATCTATCTATCTATCTATATTTATATATAAATCCTTGTGCGGGCAGGACTGAAGACGGACAGGTCGCAGGTTGGAATCTAATCGGATGGGTGAGCTCCCTCTGTCAGTTCCAGCTCTCCATGCTGGAGAAAAGCCTCACACAAGGATGGTAAAACATCAAAACATCTGAGCGTCCCCTGGGCAACGTCCTTGCAGACTGCCAATTCTCTCACACCAGAAGCGACTTGCAGTTTCTCAAGTCGCTCCTGACATGAAAAAAAACAAACCCTAGAAGAGATAATTTGCATCAATGGGCTTTGCTTACAAGCTGGTTCACTAAAAGCAATATTATACTAGTTAAGCATTAAAATCATGTTTTATTGCTAACAACTTTTTTCCTCCTTGTTTGATCTATATTTAATTTGGGTCCTGGAAACATTTGCTGTGTTTCGTGACAGTGGCGTTCCCCCCCCCCTCCCCGCCAACGTCGACGGGTTGAATCTGGGGAGCAAGGTGAGCTCCCACCTGTCAGCTCCAGCTTCCCATGCAGGAACATGAGAGTAGCTTCCCACAGGATGGTAAAACATTCAAGCATCCATTGGGCAATATCCTTGCAGACAGCCAATTCTCTCATAACAGAAGCGACTTGCAGTTTCACAAGTCGCTCCTGACACGAAAAAAATCTATATATCTACACACACATACACTATATCTATATAGAATCATAGAACCATTGAGTTGGAAGACACCTCGTGGGCCATCCAGTCCAACCTCCTTCCAAGAAGCAGGAAAATCGCATTCAAAGCGATATATAGTCTATATACTATGTATGTGTATGTATATAATCTTTATATATACTATAGATACACTACATATAAAATATATGTATAATCTATATATACACTATATATATAGTATGTCTCTCTATATATATACTATATCTCTCTCTATATACTGTATCTATCTCTATATATGAAATCTCAATCCACACATCTGTATATATGTATTGACCAGCCAATGTACAGTCATCATGTTATGAAACGAACCTCTTTTAAGTTATTAATGTAATTGGTAGGTGAAATTTAGCATTAACAGGAAACTAAAAAGATTAGTCGGTTTAAAAAAACCCTCGCAGAAATGACAATATATTTGTAAATAAAGCGGATATACTTCTTTTTATTCTCCCGCTTGACGGGGAAAGATACCACCTGTAAATACGTTTGAAGAGTAGCTATATTTGTAATTGTTCTTTGGATTCTCTCCAAAGCCTGTGAGTGACGCCGTTTCCAGGAATGGGAGAAACCAAAAGAAAAGCGCTGCTTGGTTCCCCAGTGAGGCAAACTTCTTGTTGTTTGAAGCCGTTTTTGTCTTTTCTCCCCCTCTGTTTTCATTTCATAGAAATCCTAGAAATAAATGTTATTTTGTATTAAAAAAAATACCCGATTTATCACTAACTTCCCCCGCTGTTTTTATTGTGGTCTTTGTGTTTGGGTCTTGGCAAAGCAGTGCGAAGGTGGAGAAATATTGGATAGGCATTCCTCCGGATTCTAATTGTGCTCTTTGACTTGCTACTTAAAAGCCACTGTTAACAACACAATTGTTTACTGGGAGTGGAAAACACATACAACCCCACAACAAGAAATGCTTTCTTCTCTGAGCAAGCTTTCCAAAATGATTTTGGAAATAAATTATTTTAAGAAATAATTCGTTTTTCCTGGAATCACTGGGAGTTGCTGCGAGTTTTCCGGGCTGTATGGCCATGTTCCAGTAGCATTCTCTCCTGACGTTTCGCCCACATCTATGGATGGCATCCTCAGAGGTTGTAAGGTCTGTTAGAAACTAGGCAAGTGAGGTTTATATATCTGTGGAATAATGTCCTGAGTGGGAGAAAGAACTCTTGTCTGCTTAAATTTCCAGTATTGGTTGGACTTCTTCGCTTTGGACTCTTGGTCCTGAGAAGAACTCTGCCAATCGAGCTTTTAAAAACCGTGTTGAACTCAATGGGGCTTGTTTCTGAGCAGGATCGCGTCGTATTGTTCTCTCCAGGTATTTTGCGTGGATTGTTTATGATGTCCTGATGGAGCCTCCTCAGGCCATTTCAGATTGAATGTCTTCTCAGAAGTGAATCCCACCCAATTAAATAATCTGAGTCGAGGTGGCGCAATGGGTCGGCTGAATTGCTGACCTGATGATGGGCGAGCTCCCATCTGTCAGCCCCAGCTTCCCATGTGGCGACGTGAGAGAAGCCTCCCACAGCATGGTAACACATCAAACATCCGGGCGTCCGCTGGGCAGCTTCCTTGCTGGCGGCCAATTCTCTCACACCAGAAGCGACTTGCAGTTTCTCAAGTCGCTTCTGACACAATAAAAAAAATTAAAAAGGGGATCTGCTTTCAGGTTGTATCAATAAGTGCAGCTACAATGACCCCCACATTAAATAATAATAATAATAATAATAATAATAATAATAATTTGTAATTGCCCCCTTGGCGATTTCTGGAGAAGCTCATGAGCAAGATCAGAGTAACTTCTGTTAGTTAAAAAACAAAACAAAATGCTAATTGGACCGTGTTTGTCAAGACCGAGATGCTATTATTATTGTTGCTGCTACTTTATTATTCCTTCACATTTTGGTGCCTCCAATGTTTGCCCTGTTTCTGGGTACATTTGACCTGCTGGTTCCAAAAATGGCACCTGTTTTCCTCAATCAGCTGTAGCTTTTGAGATATAGAATATATGCTATATACACACCAGTCCTCATCTACTCGCCCATAGAAAAATCATGATAGCCACATCTAAGAAACTGAGCCGCTGTGGCGCAATGGGGTTAAACTCTTGTGCCCACTGAACTGCTGACCTGAAGGTCTGTCAGAGGGAGCCCGTCTGTCACCCCCAGCTTCCCATGAGAGAAGCCTCCCACAGGATGGTATTACATCCGGGAGTTCCCTGGGGAACGTCCTTGCAGACGGCCAATTTTCTCACAACAAAAGCGACTTGCAGTATATTCTCAATTGGCTTCTGACAGGTCTATGAATCAACGCCCCAAATAACCCCAGGAACAGGCCTAAAGCCAAGACACTAAGAACATAACAACAACAACAACAATTGTTGTTGCTGCAGTCACTCCCTTGGAGGTTTCCGAAGTAGCTTGTGACCAAGATGAGCAACTTCTACTGGCTAAAACATAAAATGTTAAATGTTAGGACTGATATAGAAGTTGTTGCTATATCTCTATGTTTCTAATCTCTATCATCTCTGTCTCTGTCTCTATATCTATCTCTCTGTCTCTCTCTCTCTATATCTCTGTCTCTGTCTCTATATTTATTTCTCTGTCTCTATCTCTATCTCTATCTCTCTGTCTCTCTGTCTATGTCTCTCTATCTCTAGCTCTGTATCCATCCCTTCTCCGTCTCCATCTCCATCTCTAGCTCCATTTCTTCTCTGTTTCTGTCTCTGTCTCTATCTCTTTCTCTACTTCTCTCTTTCCCTGTCTCTGTCTCTATCTCTCTCTCTGTCTCTCTCTGTCTCTATATCTCTCTGTCTCTATCTCTCTGTCTCTATCTCTCTCTCTCTGTCTCCATCTCCATCATCTCCATCTCCATCTCTATTTCTATTTCTTCTCTCTCTGTCTCTATCTCTATCTCTATCTCTATCTCTATCTTTCTGTATCTCTCTGTCTCTATGTCTCTGTCTGTCTCTATCTCTCTATAGCTATATATCTTTCTGTCTCCGTCTCTATCTCTATCTCTGTATCTTTCTGTCTCTCTCTCTCAGTCTCTGTCTGTCTGCCTCTCTCCTGTCTTTTCTCGCTCTCTCTCTCTATATAACCATCCTTGACATTTCCCTCCTTTATCTCTCTCAGGGGAAAGCAACAACTCCCATCTCCAGAAGGAACACAGTTCCATCTTTTTGACACACCGACTCCTTATTTTCAGGGAGTGAACTCGACCAGCCCTTCCAAACAAAGCACACTCTTACTCAGAAGTTTATTCAAGTCCTTTAGCCGAAAACAAACTTAGTGTAAAGCATCCCTCCTTCGGAGTGTGATTTTTTTTCCAGGACTAGGGATTTTCTGGAAATATATACACAGAGAAGCAAGCCTCAAGGGTTGAAAAATAAAGCCTAGGGGTGGAGAAGTAAGAACAGGGACCCTTTTCTTTTCTGCTCCTCCTCCTCCTCCTTTTGGTGGAAGGGACCGAAGACGGGCAACAAAGCTGGGAGGAGGAATGTCGCCCTGGATCCTTCCAGGATGGCAAGGCTTACAGAGCAGGGATTTTCTCCTCCATCCCGGGGAGTGTTTGGCCCGGGAAAACTATTACTCACAAAGAACAAGTTCAGTGCATGGTTGAATTAAGACGGCAAAAGCTCCTAAAATTGGTTGGTATGGAAACCTAATCCCACCCAACTGTTCTGTAGCGCAGCTGGA